CAAGGCATTCCATGATGATTCATATCTATTTAATTACATGTATTGATGTGATTGAATTCAGTTACCTTTGAAACGAATGCGATATCATCTTTTCGAAGAGTGAATATCACAGACGGGTTTTTTTTTTTTTTTTTTTTTGTTTTTGTTTTTTGTTTTTGTTTGTTTGTTTGAATTTTGAGTTGAGCAGGTTAAAATTTATTTGAAAAAGTTTATGTATAAAAAGCATGTGCAGATATGTCTCGACAAGGCTATATTGTTATATACGGCTTACTGTATAAAATCTATATTTTAGAACGTGGTGTTCGGATGATTGATCACGTGCATATTTTGTTGTTGGAATATAACGTAGGCAATCTTGTTATTTATTTATTAATTATAAAATTTATCAGCAATTAAAAGTAAAAGCCGGTGTGGTTAAGAAAAAAACAGCCTGCTTGAGCATTGCTATATATACGTTATTTTAAAATGACATTTCCCCTTCATTGGTCCTGTGATTAATATCTATGATCGTAGTAACAGCCGATACATTCGTTCTTTTATAAAAGTTAACTGTATGATATTAATCCTGATAAACGATTTGGTCGGAACGCTTTATTTGGTATTAAGAACAAGTGGAAATAATCATGTGATATTCAAGCTGAATGAGAAACTGGAATGTAACACAATGAAGTGTAGTAACAAAAGACATGGACTTGTTCACTTTAAACATGATGAATGAGAAGTGGAATAGGCCAAGAATTGTTGACTGTTTCTTATGAAGTATGAACTAGCACGAGTGGCTGCTAAGGACTTGCTATTGGCGTTGAATTTGTCCATACAGTATGTATACATTACTTGGAATGCATATAAATTCGGACCTGTTCCTTAATCTAAGTTTCCTTTGAGAACTCCTCAACGAATTTTAATCCGCTACAACAGCTGGACTCAATAAAACTACCAAATTTAGTCTGTTTCATTTGTCCATGAATTTGACCAGATAAACATTGGTCTGGACACAGATTCTTTACGGGAAAGAGAGAAGTCTGACACACATATTTGATTCTAAACTTCAAATAAATGTAATCAAGTTTGCTCCAGATATGATATGAATTGATAAATATTAATAACATATCTTGCAATTAATGAATAAATCAAAATGTTTACATAACGGTAACTTTTAACAGAACAGATTTCTTTGCCATCTTTTGATATCTTCAAATGTTCTGAAAGCTACTAACTATTTTCAAACACTCCACTGCCTGGAAATGGAAAGCTCCAACGAGACCAAGAGCGTCCAGTGCGCAACTTTGATACAGAACTCTTTCTTTACTAGGGACTTAATGCCATGGATACAAAGACTGCTGAGTTCGAGGCGAAGCTGGAGACGACCATAAAACGCAGTATAATTGCTTGAATCTATTGACAAAATAGATAACAATACAATCTTGTTGTTTTGTATTTCTCTAATATGTCGCATAATCGTATTTTGCCTGAGTAATGCTGTTTGATCTTTGAAATGTTAGACTGCATATTTAACGCAATCCATTAGATTTGCACAAGTTCTAGTAACCTGAATTTTTTCCAAATATTGAAAAAACAACCTTAGCTGAAATATAAGCATTAACTCATCTTTGAGTTCGGGTTGAGTTGATCTTGAAACAAATTCAACTTGAAGTGTTCATCAAATTTGTCTGATGCATGCAACTTACGTCGAAAATGAAATAACAGTATGTAGGTTTGTGTTTAAGGTAATCAAGATAGTTTACAGTGTAACAACGGACTCAGATAGATAGAAGTCCGCGGTGAAGATCGACGTTCAGACGGAAAGTTAAATCTAAAAAGACACGTTAAGAACGGTAAAAACACGTATACATACACGTGTGTACCCTGACTTGATTAAGATATTTTAAACGACTCGTTTTTATAAAAAAAAGTAGATGGAAATTAACCACTGTTCATTAGTTTTCCTTTTTACTGGCTAGGAGTATCAGTATATCTATAATTAATTCTCCGGCAGCCATGGGACTATACATCATATTATACTTTTGTCGTGCCACTAAATCACTGAATCAGGCTCACGGCACTTAAACGTTTTATAAATTCTATAGACAAATCATCATTTTAAAAAATCCAAATTCTTATTATTAGGGAGTTACAGGATAAGGCATTACCTCTTGGACCTCTTGTAAACTCGTTGACAATTAAACTTGTAATTTATTACAGCTGGAGTGTTTGAACCCACCGATATCAAATGATACCACTCAGTTGGAGGACTTCTCTAAGTAATTAACAGAACAAACTCATTGTGAATATCAATGAATTAAGTCTCATTTAATCACATAAAGAGATAAACTATCATACCGTGTACATATACCTCAGGGCATCATTGTACAAAACTTCATCATTTCACAAAAATACGGTGTTTTTATAGTTATCACTGGGTATAAAATAAACTTAATAAGTCGTGGAATCAAAGCTGACCACCTTTGTACTTAACTAGGAAAAAAATACAGCTGCGTACATGTTGACCCCGAGGTTAGAAAACTTTTACATCTGATCAAGGAGAAGCGGAAAAGGCAATAAAATATTGGCTGTTCCGTGTGATGTTTGATCCTGCGCTATATCCGGTGTTTATAACCCGTCACTGGTCCACACGTCATGAAGGACTTCCTGTGTAACACGTTGGTAAAGCATCACTTAACTTACCATGATCGTCTTGTTATAAAATGGTCACCTTTCCCGAATGCATGCTATTATTTCATGTTGTTATTTAGATAGATCATCAATTTCGAAGAAATATTTGTGTGTCAAATGTGCATTAAGAAGTCGTTGGTATTTTAAGTAATTAATGCATGCTAGAAATTTTATAAAATTAAAAAAAATGTAATTATCAGAAGAGCTCATAAAAACTGCTGTCATGGTTGACTGCAAAACTTTGTTTCAGTTTGTTTTACTCGAGATAAACGTATGTTAGATTCATTTTCAAATTCAACATAAGTAGTGTAGGGTATGATCACCATTTGCGAGGTCAAAAATGTTTTGGTGTCGTTACTTGAAACTCGAGGCTAATTCGAGGAGAAAAATGTTGTTCCATTCATCGTTCAAGGCTTGAGCCAGCTCCTGCAAGTTTGACAGCTGATTTTGCCGTCCTCTCAGACGTTACCCAAGAACATGAAGTGACTACGATGACCAATCTAACACCATCACGTTATTCTGATACAGCAAAACTTTGTTGACGAGACTGGTGTGAGCGTATGCGTTATAGTGATGGGATATGGTGCCAACGCCATAGGATATTATGTATGGCAAAACCACTTGTCTTAATATTTTCGTCTCGATATCGAATGCCGGTTAAAAGGTAATTTACCACACAACGTCTGGTACGATTTTCCCGCAAATAACGCCCCAAACTATGACACTTCCGCCGTCATAGTAGTCCCGTTGTGCGGCGCAGCAATTCGCTAAACGTCCCTTTCGTCGCCTCCCAACTCCTTTCGTCACCGTGTTGCAGAGAAAATTAGGACTAGCCTGAAAACATATGATTGTTCCATCTCGTAAGGCCCTACCACGGTGAACACGGAACCGGTTATGGCGATTATTACGGTGACGTAACAGTGTGATCAGTGTATGGACGCAGTGTTTTCAATCCGAATGCTTTCAACATGTGCTGGACTTTTTGGGCAGACAAACGACGCGCACAAAGTGTACTGTCGTCTTTATGGCGGTACGAATCAATTGCGCAAGTGTATTAATAGTATACCACGGTCATCCCTAGAGGTCATTTTGCGGGGGTCGGCCGCTTCGGGCACGATCGGATATTGACCCAGTTTCACTCAAACGACTTAACAACTGGTAAATTGTCTTCCAGTCTGGGTCATGCATACAACTCTGCATTTGTTGCAGCCGCAGCATAAAATATCAAGATTTGATTATTTAAGAAACAGGTGGCAGATTTGATTTTTGATGAACATACAAGTTAGTCGCAGAAAACCATATGAAGCTCTGTCGTTATTATGGACTTTCACGCTTGAATGATTTCGGTCACCCCTTGGATTTTTGTAATGTAAATAATTGTCTTTGTATTTTTACAAATTGGAATTTCATTTTATTATCGTGTAAAATAAATAATGTTTTACAAGCAAGTAGGAATTAATGTGCCATTACTATCATGTCATTATCACTCGCTGTATGTGTGTGTATTTAAAGGATATATTACTTATTCAAAGTGAATTAAGATTTTACAAATAAGATAAAGCAGTCCTAAAGTCATGGGAACTATCTTATGACAAAGGAGAATGAAGTGGTTATTGTATATGGTTAGCACTTTTTAAAACTTATTTACAAAACTTGATAAACTCCTTTTTACCCTCAATTTTTCCTGAAATTTTGTTTTATCATTGTTTTTAATACTACATTAAATTCATACTGTATGTAAAACAAATGAACTGTTTTAATGACATATTTTAGTATCAATTTAATTAATATGGTCCGTACTTTAGATGAAATATATTCTCCGTGGAAAAGTCCGACCAGATTTCAATTTTGTGACACTTAGACTACATTCATTGTCTGATCTTATACATTTTCTGTGTTAGTATGTCCTTCACTGATAAACGTACTTAACAGTAGTTACAGGCCGAGAACTTATCCTAGCTGTACACCATGGTATTTTAGTTATTTATTTCCCTTTCGGGGAAAGAGAAGGGACATTGACTATATGTTCTTGCTATCTCTCCGTCCATCTCTCCGTCCTTCTCTCCCGCCATCTCTCAGCTCATCTCTCCCGCCATCTCTCCATCCATCTCTCCGTCCATCTCTCCTTCCATATCTCCGTCCATCTCTCCCGCCATCTCTCCATCCATCTCTCCGTCCATCTCTCCATCCATCTCACCCGCCATCTCTCCGTCCATATCTCCCGCCATCTCTCCCGCCATCTCTCCATCCATCTCTCCGTCCATCTCTTCGTCCATCTCTCCCGCCATCTCTCCGTCCATCTCTCCGTCCTTCTCTCCCGCCATCTCTCAGCTCATCTCTCCCGCCATCTCTCCATCCATCTCTCCGTCCATCTCTCCATCCATATCTCCGTCCATCTCTTCCACCATCTCTCCTTCCATATCTCCGTCCATCTCTCCCGCCATCTCTCCATCCATCTCTCCGTCCATCTCTTCGTCCATCTCTCCCGCCATCTCTCCGTCCATCTCTCCCACCATCTCTCCTTCCATATCTCCGTCCATCTCTCCTTCTATATCCCAGTCCATCTCTCCCGCCATCTCTCCATCCATCTCTCCGTCCATCTCTCCGTCCATCTCTCCTTCCATCTCTCCGTCCATTTCTCCCGCCATCTCTCCGTCCATCTCTCCGCCCATCTTTAAGTCCATCTTTCCCGCCATATCTCCGTCCATCTCTCCGTCCATCTCACCCGCCATCTCTCCGTCCATCTCTCCCACCATCTCTCCTTCCATCTCTTCTTCCATCTCTCCCGCCATCTCTCCGCAATCTCTCCTTCCATCTATCCCTCCGTCTCTCCATCCATCTCTCCGTCATCTCTCCGTCCATCTCTCCGTCCATATCTCCGTCCACCTCTCCGCCTATCTCTCCGTCCATCTCTCCGTCCATATCTCCTTCCATCTCTCCGCCCGTCTCTCCGTCCATCTCTCCCACTTTCTCTCCTTCCGTTTATACTTTAAAGATTATGTCCGCGTCTACAAAGCTATCTGCTATTTTTTACTGTCGTCATTCACCACAACGCTGGTCCACTTGTTCCTGACATTTGTTGGATTATATGATTGATGAAAGTTTTCCTTTTCATTTTGTGTGTCATACAGTTCGACGTTATAAAGATATTTAAAAAAAAAAAAAAAGACCAAACATCAACTGTTGATTCTGTAAAAAGTCCAAGGTCACTGGTCTCGCCTGACCTACTTGTGTTAACGCGGAAGGAAAGCTGGAAGCTGAACGTCATACATCACATCCCGCGCGCGCACTGGTCACCCATTGTTTGCTGTTGAGCTGTGTGTATTGTGATCATACATACCGTGGACATGTTTTATTTCTATTTACAATCATTGTTAGATACTTCAGGGAGGTAGTACCTGTGTCCCATCAATCACAGGATACAACTGTATTAGTTAATGGTATGGTAACATTATACTGAAACATACATGTATAACATGGTTTTAATGAATTATAGATGAATAGAGAAGGAGAGGGGGATGGAGGAGGGGGGTGGGGATGGAGGAGGGGGGGGGGGAAGGGAAAAGGTATCATACTTGTTACTATGTGAACTCACAATACATAAGAGATTTCTGTTGAAACAAGTTATATGTGATCTGAAATGTCCACAGTTGTATTTCGGTAACCCCCTCTTTTTCAACTTTTGGATTTTTAAAAGTTAAATAAACGATAATACTAAGTTCACGTAATATTCGATTTTTTTTTAGTTTTATATATAATTACGTATATTTTGGGTTTGATATATACATATATAACTAATCATTTGTTTACAAAAACATAACAAACCGTATGTTTAAACAAAAGCGGTTCTTTTTATATACGCCACCTATACACCATATTTACCTCATATGGCAAACCCTAATTCAACGTTATTGAATCAACATGAATATATCGTACAACTATCTAAGATAGAGTTGGTCCTGTTGATTGTTCTCTCGTTTTAATATAGTACCACTGACCGTCAAACATATGCGGACACACACCGTGCAATGTTCGTTATAGTCCCTCCTGACAATCAATGGTTTAATTGGACACTACGATTTGTACTTAGTATGACCTCTGTTCTATCAACAGACAATGCTATTTGTTGTTATTGTACACTGATGCTATTGTGTTTTCGTGTCCTTAATCTCATTCTGTCCTTGCTCATCCGCTGTAACCGCCGCTAAGTAACATCAATCATTTGAGTAGGAAGTAACCTTCTAACTACAAACTGCTCGTTTATTTTGTCTGAAGTAAACAAACAGCATCTGAATCTATCATTGTCTACATTATTTCGCAGTTAAACCTCCTTTCTGGAGGCTGACGTATGCTTCAGACATAATTAACATATGTATTACCGAATAATGATATATTTAAACATGTATGTTTGTCAAGTTAATATTCTTTATGCAGAACAGTAGATTTATCAAACCAATATTTCAACAGAAACAGGAGAACATCACAATAACAGAAACAGGAGAACATCACAATAACAGAAACAGAACTACAAATGTAAAGGTGAGAACACCATAACAACAGAAACAGTAGAACATGACAAATGTAAACAACAGCGGAACAGCAAATGTCTCCGATATAAAAAAAACAGAAACTGAGAAATCACAACAACAGAAACAGGAGAACATACATCACAACAATGTAAACAGGAGAACATCACAACAACAGAAACAGGAGAACATCACAACAACAGAAACAGGAGAACATCACAACAACAGAAACAGGAGAACATCACAACAACAGAAACAGGAGAACATCACAACAACAGAAACAGGAGAACATCACAACAACAGAAACAGGAGAACATCACAACAACAGAAACAGTAGAACGAACTACAAATGTAAAGGTGAGAACATCACAACAACAGAAACAGGAGAACATCACAACAACAGAAACAGGAGAACATCACAACAACAGAAACAGGAGAACATCACAACAACAGAAACGGGAGAACATCACAACAACAGAAACAGGAGAACATCACAACAACAGAAACAGGAGAACATCACAACAAATACAAATGTAAAGGGAGAACATCACAACAACAGAAACATGAGAACATCACAACAACAGAAACATGAGAACATCACAACAACAGAAACAGGAGAACATCACAACAACAGAAACAGGAGAACATCACAACAACAGAAACAAGTAGAACTACAAATGTAAAGGTGAGAAAATCACAACAACAGAAACAGGAGAGCATCACAACAACAGAAACAGGAGAACTACAAATGTAAAGGTGAGAACATCACAACAACAGAAACAGGAGAACATCACAACAACAGAAACAGGAGAACTACAAATGTAAAGGTGAGAACATCACAACAACAGAAACAGGAGAACTACAAATGTAAAGGTGAGAAAATCACAACAACAGAAACAGGAGAACATCACAACAACAGAAACAGGAGAACATCACAACAACAGAAACAGGAGAACTACAAATGTAAAGGTGAGAACATCACAACAACAGAAACAGGAGAACATCACAACAACAGAAACAGGAGAACATCACAACAACAGAAACAGGAGAACTACAAATGTAAAGGTGAGATCATCACAACAACAGAAACAGGAGAACATCACAACAACAGAAATGTAAATGAACATCACAACAACAGAAACAGGAGAACATCACAACAACAGAAACAGAACTACAAATGTAAAGGTGAGAACATCACAACAACAGAAACAGGAGAACATCACAACAACAGAAACAGGAAAACATCACAACAACAGAAACAGGAGAACATCACAACAACAGAAACAGGAGAACATCACAACAACAGAAACAGGAGAACATCACAACAACAGAAACAGAACTACAAATGTAAAGGTGAGAACATCACAACAACAGAAACAGGAGAACATCACAACAACAGAAACAAGAGAACATCACAACAACAGAAACAGGAGAAACACAAAAACAGAAACAGGAGAACATCACAACAACAGAAACAGGAGAACATCACAACAACAGAAACAGGAGAACATCACAACAACAGAAACAGGAGAACATCACAACAACAGAAACAGGAGAACATCACAACAACAGAAACAGGAGAACATCACAACAACAGAAACAGGAGAACATCACAACAACAGAAACAGGAGAACATCACAACAACAGAAACAGGAGAACATCACAACAACAGAAACAAGAGAACATCACAACAACAGAAACAGGAGAACATCACAACAACAGAAACAGGAGAACATCACAACAACAGAAACAGGAGAACATCACAACAACAGAAACAGGAGAACATCACAACAACAGAAACAGGATAACATCACAACAACAGAAACAGGAGAACATCACAACAACAGAAACAGGAGAACATCACACAACAACAGGAGAAACAGAACTGGAAACTACAAATGTAAAGGTGAGAACATCACAACAACAGAAACAGGAGAACATCACAACAACAGAAACAGGAGAACATCACAACAACAGAAACAGGAGAACATCACAACAACAGAAACAGGAGAACATCACAACAACAGAAACAGGAGAACTACAAATGTAAAGGTGAGAACATCACAACAACAGAAACAGGAGAACATCACAGGAGAACATCACAACAACAGAAACAGGAGAACATCACAACAACAGAAACAGGAGAACATCACAACAACAGAAACAGGAGAACATCACAATAACAGAAACAGGAGAACATCACAATAACAGAAACAGGAGAACATCACAATAACAGAAACAGGAGAACATCACAACAACAGAAACAGGAGAACATCACAACAACAGAAACAGGAGAACATCACAACAACAGAAACAGGAGAACATCACAACAACAGAAACAGAAGAACTACAAATGTAAAGGTGAGAACATCACAACAACAGAAACAGGAGAACATCACAACAACAGAAACAGGAGAACATCACAACAACAGAGAACATCACAACAACAGAAACAGAACTACAAATGTAAAGGTGAGAACATCACAACAACAGAAACAGGAGAACTACAAATGTAAAGGTGAGAACATCACAACAACAGAAACAGGAGAACTACAAATGTAAAGGTGAGAACATCACAACAACAGAAACAGGAGAACATCACAACAACAGAAACAGAAGAACTACAAATGTAAAGGTGAGAACATCACAACAACAGAAACAGGAGAACATCACAACAACAGAAACAGGAGAACTACAAATGTAAAGGTGAGAACATCACAACAACAGAAACAGGAGAACATCACAACAACAGAAACAGGAGAACATCACAACAACAGAAACTGGAAACTACAAATGTAAAGGTGAGAACATCACAACAACAGAAACAGAACTACAAATGTAAAGTTGAGAACATCACAACAACAGAAACAGAAGAACATCACAACAACAGAAACAGAAGAACTACAAATGTGAAGGTGAGAAAATCACAACAACAGAAACAAGAGAACTACAAATGTAAAGTTGAGAACATCACAACAACAGAAACAGGAGAACATCACAACAACAGAAACAGAAGAACTACAAATGTAAAGGTGAGAAAATCACAACAACAGAAACAGGAGAACATCACAACAACAGAAACAGGAGAACGAACTACAAATGTAAAGGTGAGAACATCACAACAACAGAAACAGGAGAACTACAAATGTAAAACATCACAACAACAGAAAACAGGAGAACATCACAACAACAGAATTTTGAGAACATCACAACAACAGAAACAGATATTACAAATGAAACAGGAGAACATCACAACAACAGAAACA